ATCAACGTTAATTGTTTTTGGAGGATACAGATTTCATATTTATACAATTAGTCTATTCATACAAAAATTTAAATAGCCCAAACAAGATTGTTTTTAATAGAAAAATAGTTGTGACCAATAAAATACAATTTAAGTAAGATGAATAATATTTCATAATAAATTAACAATATTATTCTATTATATTTTGTCACAATAAATTGATGATTTGTTAGTAAAATTTTTATTTTTATTTTAAAATTACATAAATTAAAAATAATTTTCATATTAGAAACTAAATTAAACAATTTTTACAATATAAGTTAAATATCCAGTCTGGAAATAAGATATTCTAAAAACGGTTTGATTTTATATTTTATATTAATTGGTTGAAATTCATATTCATATTGATTTGTTTATGCACATATTTTCTATTTTTCTTTATTTTTTTTTTATTTGTTTTTAAATTTTTGTCAAAAAATTATTATAGCTTTAATTTAGGCCTAGATCACAAAGGAAAATTTATGAAAGGTTGGAGGGAGAGCGTTATTGCCACATCTGCATTTATGGCTGAATTGCTTGCAGGAAGCCTTTATTGCTGCTGAATGACTCGCATAATTAGCAGGTTGTGGTTGAATTGGATTGTTAATTATTATTCAATGCTCTTACTTTAAATTTTGGGAGAACATAGATAAGTTTTAAAATAATTAATTAATTTAAATTATATCTCAATCAATTTTAAAGTGTCAAATTTTAAGAATATGTAAGTTTGGTTCTTAGTTTTATAATTTTATTATGATAAATTTATAATTTATTTTTAAATCTTAGCATGGTTGAAAAAGTAAATAAATTTATTACCTCTTCTAAGAGAAGAAGTCCAAGCCCAATAACTTCACCATCCTTTAAAACTCTAGATCAATATAATTATTTCAAACTCCTCATCAATAAGACCAACTATTTCTTTCTACCTAACACCAATAATATTAAATATGTTTTTCATTATTCATTCAACAAAGTCATTGTTTATTTAAACACTAACTCTGAACTTGTAAAAACTCTTTTTAGTTATGACCTTATCCACTCTCGCATTCTTAATATTTTATTTTTTTTTTCATAATTCATCAGATAATACATTTGCTTTTGCTGCTGAGATATTTGCTCTTGTGTCAACTAAAGTATGATATTTTTTGGATCTATATTTTTTATAATTAAATTTTATCAATATGTAACATAATTTTGTCATATCAATTTTATTTTTTGAATTACTATTATTTGATGATTAATATTTATCATGACTCTTTTTTTTGTATCCTCCATGGTTTTACTTGTTCTAAAAAATCATTCCCTAAAATTATTTTACATTGATCATTATTATTATCTATTACCCAAAATTTTATAGTTATAACATCTCTATTATTTATCCTTATAGATGAAATTGTTCTATTTCCATCATTTGTTACTTCTAAATTATTATTTGTCAGATTTAATTGTATTGTACTTTTTTCTTTTTTGGGGTCTACTAGGGCCATTACTTCTATCCAATTTGCTTCTTGTTTTACTTCTATTAATATGTAATTATCATTTTCTATTGGTGTTATAAGTCTTAATGATTCTAAGTTTGAAGTTATAGGGTTTTCACTTCTTGATCTTAACATTAATCTTTCTTGTCTAGACATTCCTCTTATTGGACCTGCACTAGTAGAGGGTCTTGGTTCAAAACTAAAACTTCTTTTAGTAGGTTGATTTATATTAATATTTAATGTTGGTGTATTAATTCTTAATGCTCTTTGTCCTATGTTATCATTGATTATTAATCTTCTTGTATTGTTTTCATTTTCATAATATCCTATAGTATTATCTAATTCTAATCTTAATTATTCAAGTATTGTTATTCTAGTAAGATCTAATTCAATTTCTTGTAATATAGGCATAAAATGTTTGTCAATTGTTAATTTTTCTTTATTTCTTTTATAAATTTTATGTTCATTTGTAAATACTAATCCTATTATAGCAGTTATACTTATTGTTCCTGATATTTTGATAGCAGTTGGCTGATAGTATTGCAATTGGGCTAATAGTTGTTTAAATAATTCAAATTATGATATCAATATTTTTAAATTGGCTAATAGAACAAGATTTAGAAAATTTAGAAACAAGAATAGGATTAGTGCTGGCAATTAACGAACATATAGGAAGAGAAACTAGAATATATTATTCAACACCAATGAGACAAAGAAATACTAGAAATTTTTAACATTTCTAAGTATTTGCTTTTCAATAATACAAATATTAGAAGAGGTTTCCCCATGAATATCATAAAAACAATCGAACCATAATGACAACAGCTGGCTATGTGTTGTTACAGGGTTTAACCGATATTGATCCGGGTTATAGCAGAACATGAAATGTTCTCAGTCCTCTTTCATATTGAGATTAACAAGCCAGCAGTCTCTCAAGCCTGGCTATAGAGCTTTCACAGAATTACTTCCTTCAGACCAGCTCAGCCATATCTTTTAATCTTCAATACTTGCAAATGAGAAAATAATTAAAATAAATACTTTTTATTGACAGTAATGGCGCAAGGTTACAAGGATGGAGGCAGAGAACTCAGTGCTCAAGAAAGCTCTAAGGTTCTCAGATGTGTGTGTTGCCTCAGAGATTACATGACTTTATATAGAGTTGGCATTTCAACCCTAGTTACATGACTATGATTAATTTTTGATAAAAAATAACCCTAATTATTACAAGAAAATAAAACTACGTTTGACAAAATGAAAAAGTAAGAAAACAATATAGCCTTAAACTTCTTAGACTTTTTAACAAAATGAAAAGTTAAAGGAATTATTATAAGAGACAGTATAAGTTTATACTTTTTTTTAGACTTTTTAATTTTTTCTTCCACCTTCTTTAGTCTTCTTCCATCTTCTTCTTTACTTGTCGGTTGAAAAAGTAAATAAATTTATTTTCTTTATTAAAATTTAAAAAATAAATTATAAATTTATTATAATAAGATTATAAAATTAAGAGTCAAATTTTAAAATTTTAAAATTTTAAATTAATTAAAATTTAATTTAAATTAAGTAATCTGTTAAAACCTATTTATTATTTCCCCTTAACTTTTCATCCACGTAGGCGGTTTGTAGACCTTTTTTTTTTTTTTTTTGAGAAAAAAAAGAATGTTCCCGTTCCCCTCCTACTCAAATCGAATCAAATCAACATAAAAGATCCAAGGTGTCGCGTCATTGTCAGGCCCGGGACTCAGGTACGTGTCGAGTGAGGCACCAAACAAAAGTCCGAAAAGCAAATGACATGAAAAGTGCTCTTGTTGAGAGTCGAACTCAAGACCTCCCGCTTACTAAACGGGTGCTCTAACCAACTGAGCTACAAGAGCTTCATGATGGTCAATTTAATCAACTTAATTATGATAATCAACTTGAGACCAACTATCCTAAATCTAAATAAACAGTTGGGATTTAACATTGGAAGAATCACACTTAATTCTAATATGTTTTGAATTGTTTCTGCAAATTCAAATGTAAATATTTTGTTCATGAAAAGATATATTTATTGTTAATCACATGAACTATATATAATAAACAAATACTCCTTCCGGTCCTATTTATAAGTCATTCCTACCAACCTTATCAATATCAATACAATAAAAGTACAAGAAATAAAAGTAAGTAAAATTTCAAACATATCCCTATATAACAAATTTAAAAAATAATGTCTTATTACCTTTTTTCTTTCATGAAGGATAATTTTGAAAATACTTTTGAAATATTACCTAAACAGACGCACCATAACTTATAAATGAGATCAAATGGACCTTCTAAAATGGGACTTATAAATAGGACCGGAGGGAGTATTAAATTATTCAAGTACGGATGTTATCATATTTTTTATGAATATCACGTTGTAAATACACCTGAAAAACTATATATCTGGGGCATATGTGTTTTTTCATGAAGAAATATATTTACATTTAAAGTTTTTGGGCTTGTAAAAACAATCCAAAATTTTTTGGGCCATAGGTGCAATTATTTCCATTCTGGATGATCGTAGGTGCAATTCTCCCTTTAATATTTTCCTTACAGTTACAAAAGTTTAAGGGAGCATGTTATTATTTCTCATGTACTCTTTCTGCCCGTATGTTTTCTTATGTACATGATGATAACCATGACGACAAGGATAATAATCATAATGATAATCTTCCTAGACTACAAACCATTGAAAATGGAACGCAAATAAGGGTTATTTGTTTTAAAAAAAAAAATCGTTGAAAATAGTGACTAGAAGATTTGGTAATCTGAAAGGCTGACATTGAAATTAAGACCCTCTAATTGATTGATAATGTGTAAAACATTGCCTGAATAACTTAGATAAACTAAAAACTACTCCGTCGTGTTCTTGTAAAAATCTATATCATGTTCTTCAATATATTACCTTTTGCCTAAAACAATAATTTTTTCCCTATCTGCCCTTGTTTGATATTTCTTAATCAACTAAACATCTTGACTAATTAAACAGCTCCCTCGCTGCATTAAGGGTAATTTTGAAATTTTAAAAATATTACCAAATTTTAAATAAATTCATTTATCTGTGCAAAATTGTTAATAAGTCCGTACAATAAGGACCATTTCACTGAGAACTCAAGCAAATAATAAAACGCTCTTAAATGGAAACAACTCAGTTTATAATGTAGAAATTTCAAAATCTACAAATGTCACAATTTCTATACAGGAAAGGAGGAAGGAGATTGCAGCAAATTGAACTATAACAATGCAACCTCCTACCACATCAGTTGAAATATTACCTTGGGGCAACCATAGTCAATGGTCTCTAGCGAAGGAAGAAGAAACCATGTCACTCTCAATGCCTTTTCCATGTTTTGCTCATAACCCAAGATCATAATTTCATGAATTTAATGCTAAAAACTCACAAAATGATTCAGAGGAGTAGGGTAGATCAAAGGGAAGTGAAGAAATGATTCTCCAACTTCTGAAAGATTCTCATCCATACGCTGATAAGAATGTTGATCATATTGGTTATTCATTCATCAGGCTCAAACCTCTATCTATACATTGGATCAAGTCACATAATCTCAGTGCCAGGCAAGGCAAAAGCAACTATATACTTCATTGGCAGCTTCAGATGTAACCCCAAAAAAAATATGATTACAATTCACAACGTTACGATGAAAATGGCCAACACTCCTTGTTCGTTGGTTCAACTAACCGAGAGAGACCGAAATACCTGCATGCAGTTGAAAAGACACAAGGTAATGTGATTGAACGATAAATGAGAAGGTAACATTGACTAGCAGCACATGAGATGCAGTTCAAACCTTGACCATTTAGAAAGATGAGGTTCCTAGTGAAGAGTATCCAGCAGCATTTCTCTCCTTCAGAGTTGCAGCCAACCAGTCCAAGCCCTCATAAAGGCCATCTCCCCTAAGCGCACAAGTTCCTTGTATGTGCCATTTTCTATTCTTGAGTTCAAAGAGACCTAGTCCTTCACATACTTCCATTGGCGTCATTGCTCCTTTCTGAAAATGGAAAATTTTAACATTTAGAAGGTAGCTATGTACATGGGTTGGGGACAGTTTGTTCAAGAAGAGGAACAATCTACCAAGTCAAACTTAGAAGCCATTTGTTTGCTGGGAAGAATGGAAATGGAATGGATAAAATAAAAATAAGAACAAAAATGAACTAAGTTGCCCTCTCCCTCATGGTAAACATGATAAAATTTAATACCACATACCACAAATGTGGAAATCATCACACCCTCTACAAACTTTATGAATCATGATCCCCAACCTTATGAACTAAATTACCTTTCCCCACTCATAATCTTGGTTGATTTGTATTCCCTCCACATTTTGATCACTTTATACTTGTCTTTATTTCTTCAATCCATTCCATTCCCTACCCTTCCAGCAAGGGAGTGACCCCTCAGTTTTACAGGATATGATGACATCCAGCAGACAGTCGACCAGTAGGAATAAAAACAGTTTGCTATGATTAGCAACAGGCATTTGGTAATCAATATTACATTACGTTGCAATGCATTACCATAGGGGGCATAATTGAACCAAATGGGCCCTAAGATAAACTGAGATGGAGAGAATGTAATCCACATATCTTATCAACTTGAACCATGTAATCCCAACTTGTAACATATACATTCATCGTGTCAATGATTCAAGCATACCTTTCGTTTTCAATTGATTCACTTTAACACCTGCTAATGAGATATTATGAAAAATTAAACACGGGAAAATGCTGTTGGAATTGAGATATAATAACCATTTCAGCCTTCTTTTTAAGAATATAATATTATCATTGATGGAAGGTGGAACCATTACTTTATAAATTTCTCCACAAACCATGTCAGAATATAAGCGTCTTGTCTTGTCCACCAGACCAAAACAAACAATCAAGATAAATTTTGTTGATACTATTTTCTTATCGCATACCTAAAGGTGATATGTTTTAAAGTCTAAACACACATAAACCTGCATAATATACCTCACACGAACCCCACACACACACACACACACACACAAAACGTTTCCCACCTTCTTTATGTCAGGAAATATATAAATATATTATACTTTTCCTCATTATGCCAAAGATATTTAAGTCATAAAACTACAAGGGGCATTAAAGAGGTAATCAAGCATGCCAGTATACATTCAGAAATCACTGATTGGATGTGTCATGCATCCTCCAATAATAGTAGGAAAAGGAAAATATGGTTGCCTAAGTATCCCACACAGGTGATTAAAATGTCCTACCACCCTCGATAAGTGAGAGCTACTACTAGTGCAATTCTGCCTCACCAGAAAGTAACCTTAGCGTGCCTACGGTGTGTGGAGGCCACTGTATACAAAACTAAGGCGAACTAATTTCTTGCAGGGACCTTTTTAGTCCTTGAAGTGACATTGATAATCTAATTTACCAAATATTTATATGGTTTCAACTTTCAAGTCTATGCAAAAATTATTGGCCAAAATATCCTGCAAAAGTCAGAGTAGAAGATATCTCTCGTATTACCATTTCTAATCTCACAATTCTATGTGATTATACAGTAGAGTCCTCCTAAAATAATGTAGTTTATCAGCAGCAGCTCCAATTGATTCTTAAAGTTTTTAGTTGCAAGTTGAAAATATACATACAGCTTGCATAAAATCCACCCAAAAGACTCTCATAGAAGTAATAACAGTCTAGAAACTTCTTTAGTTTCTTGTGACTTAAATATTTCAAAGATTTCAATATCATAGAATCCAATCTCAATTGCAATGATGATAACATGCCCAAAATACATTCAATACATGCTAATGTAGTACAACTACCTCTTCAAATCTCTTATTTGGACAACCATGTCAAATTATCAACCCTCTTCAGAGCTTTGGCTCTCATTATTAGATCTTCAGTGACAAAAGTTCTAATTCAGGAAAAAAAAAACAAGTAAAACAAGTAACAAAAACATACCATGTCTTGTTTGTTGGCAAAAACCAAAATGACACTATTGAGCATGAACGGATCACTTATGATAGCCTGCAAATAATTCATGGATCAATTCTAAGCTTGTTACTCAGTTTTAAGGACTAATAAGCATTGAATCTGATTTTACCACCTGAAATTCCTGCTTTGCTTTTCCAATTCTCTCTCGGTCCAGGCTATCAACAACATATATCTGCGTAAATGCACAAGTGAGCATACAGGTTTGAACCTAGCTAAGTTATAAAAAAAAAAAAAGTCCTTTCTAGTAAGTTCCATTGAAATTACAATTGACTGTAGAAAAATCCAAAAAACCATCATAATTCAAAGCACAACTCAACATATCAAAAGGCATAAAAGCATAGGAAATAATTCTTACCAAACCGTCTGTATTGTTAAAATAGTGCCTCCAAAGTGGCCTTAATTTTTCTTGCCCTCCTACATCCCAAACTGTGAATATAACATTCTTATACTGAACTTTCTCCACATTGAAACCTACAAGATCGAAAAAGACCATTAGACTGCAGAAACAACTCTTATTTTATGGAACTGAAGAAACATCTTGTAGGCACCCATTTGACGACCAGCAAGAACATGCTAAAGGGCATCAGAAAGGCCTAATGAAATTAATGATGGGAACATTGTTTGATTGAAGGAAAACAATTTTTTTTTTTAACTATAAAAGGGAAACCCTTGTGAAACCCCACACAACGTGGGTCTCTTCAAATTTTCTTGACAAAATGCCAAAGAATAAGCCACATCAAATCAAACAACAGAAATCATAAACAATAATCCTGTGAAAAAACCAATTGTCACGTGTTTGTCAATAATCAAAATAAAACCTTCCAAGTGATGTAACAAACCATCAACAACAAATGGATTTACGAGACCTTCAGCAGAAGATAGCAATATATCAGCATGTCACACTTCCCACATCCCCCTATTGATAATAGGTAGTCTCCATAACCGTAAAAAATAACAATAAACATGAAAAACTCACAGATCCTTTCAAACAACATTCCCATCAACTCATACATCAAACTGATCCTTCCAAAATCTTATTGAAACCATTATTTCCAATATCTGAATTCACGCATTAATCACAAACGTGCTAACTAGATTGAGATCTTTCACTCTATACCATTGAAAAAATATATCCACATCGTTAACTATTCAACGCACTAAATTGAAACATGATTACATATATATATTCACATTCAAGCATTTCACATACAAACCATGCTACCTAATTTGTCCCCTAATAATTGCAGGAAATGTTCTCTTTTCATCACAATAAAAATATACTTTCAACAAAAGCTGGCTCCAATAACAAAAAGCTCCATACGTCATCAAACAAGGAGAAGAGCAACAATACAACTTTGCTTACCTCTGAATATATAGGCAATCAAAAAATTAAAAAAATGAAGAAAATAGCTAGCAATTTAGAAAATTTAAAAAACTTTGCATAATCTTAACAATTTTCTGCTATTGAGATAGAAATAAAACACTTATCTTAAAGCAAGTTGACCGGATAAAGTCTTGTTTAAAATTCAAAAACTAATCAATAAATATTAGTCAGGATTCGTGAGTTTGTAAAATAACACCCACCAATAGTAGGGACAGTCGATAAAACTTCTCCAATATGCAGCTTGTACAGTATAGTTGTTTTGCCAGCAGCATCAAGACCAAGCATCACAACCTAAGCCAGGGAAATTTACAAGCGTCATAAAAGTTTTTTATCAGTGATTAACAGGAATTCATAACAGTTTTTTGAATCATTAATTAACAAAGTGTTGAAGATAAAGAAAATTTCAAGGGCCATGAGCACTAAGCCAAGAAATAAAGCATTCATGCAGATGGTGTGGAAGGAAGAATGCAAAGGCAGCACTAGTTATAAACATTAACTTGAAACATAAATTACAGAGGAAAAACAAATAACAAAAATGGAAACAAGGATAAGTTAATCCTAAGAAAAATCAGAAACATCCGAAACGTCACAACAATCATTACAATGAATAGCATCATATTTGCAAACTAAGAACTGGCAAACCGGATGAAGTACTGTGCATTAACGCATAGTCCCATAGGGCAAGTACCATGTTCTGAAGGATGAATTTAAAAGCTCAGTCAAAGTGATAAAATTTTGGGCATTAATGCGTAATCTTATTCCAATGTTCGTTTATTTTAGAAAGTACAACCCGATCCCTCAACAAGCACGAGGACTAAAAGCCAAAATAGTTCGATATTGCTATCGATATATTGAAAAAAGGTTTCAACCGTTGCCAAAATCACCCAACTACAGCCCAGAAAACCAGCATATCCTCTGGGATCGGCGAGAATACAGGAAGCAGAAGCAAGACGAAGGTTGAAATTTCTTGTCTTGTTTTCAAAAGCTCAGAAATAAACAAAAATCATCAAAACTTTCACTCCAGATGGTAAGGAAGTTACCTAAAGCAATAACTTTCCAGTTTTCAAAAATAGAAGAGAATTCAAAAACAAATAATAATTATAAATTTATAATACGTAACTTCATACTTCTTAAAAAGCTAATAAAGTAATAATCCAAACAAAGACAAAGAAAACTTCACGCCGATCTTTGTTGTGGAAAAAAGGGCCGGAGGGGGGAGGGGAGACATGTATTATCACAAAAAGAAAAATTCACCCAAATCGTAATTTCAAACTTATGGGTCAAATGGAGATCGTGAAGGGGAAAAAACAACTAAGCAATCCATCACAGAGAAAAAAAGAAAACAGAGAAGTACCCGCATCTCGGAGTTCCCGAAGAAGGCGTCAAAGAGCTTTCGGAAAGCTTGACCCATGGCCGTGACCAAGATTCTGAAACTCTTACTTACAATTTCTATATGCGATCAAATTCTATGGATAATTTAAGAGTTGTATCGTCGGAAACGCGAATCAGTGTGGGCTTACGCCGAGTTAGATTCGGCGATTGTGAACAAACCCCTCTTGAAAAAATATACTGGGACGAGAAAGTGTCAAGCAAGAGGACCAAACAAGTGAGGGTGAGGCAGACTTGGCTTTCGCTTTATTTCCTTCCTTCTACCTTATTGTTGAATAAACCAAAATTCAAAAGTTAAAAGAAAATTAAGAGAAGTAGAATATTTGCATGTAAAATTTATTTCCATTCTAGTACGGGGGAAAAAAGAAAAAAAATGGAAACATAAATAAAATTCTTACCCAAAAAACATAAATGAAATAAAAAATTAGAGGATTGTTTCTAAAAAAATATTTCAAAAAAATTATCAATCTGAATGTTATATAAAAATAAGATGATCAAACATGATGAGTATACTTTTCATTTATTTATTGATGATATTTTTTTAATAATTATTTTTATTTTTCAGAATTCAAATGATATAAAAAATATACAAATTTGGTTTAGGTTTAGGTGCATAAAAATTAAGACTATTTACCCACTAACTAATTATAAGATGTAACACGGGAATAAAAATTTAGATAAAATTGTTCATTTAATCAGTGGTAACGAGATTGAGAATTTGAATTTTATAAATAACCAAAAAAAAAATAACACCTTGAAAAAGCTAATCCCAATTGGGTTTGATCATATTTGAATTTAAATAATGAAATAACTAATAATAAAAGATGTACTAGAAAGAGGAAACCTAGAATGTTATAGTTTAGATTATAAGGATTTTTTTATTCATGAGAATTATCTTTTTAATTTGTTTTGAGATAAATTTTTAGGTAGACCTGGAGCACCACCTCATTTGTTGTTTGATCAATCAAAATATAACACTTTTAATTTGAGATGGCATTATTTTGACATTTAATTAATTGAATTTGATAAGATGCTATATTTTGGTTAGTTAGACTGCAAATGATGTGATGCTATAAGTCTATTTAAGAATTCCTTGTTTCATACACATATTTGCATATTTCTTTTTCTTTTTATCAGGCTTTTTTTATGAATTTAATAGAATTTGAGCATTTTGTGACAACCCTCTCATGTTTCACCTCAACATGAATGCCTATGCATGTTTTTGACCAGCAATTTTTCTTATTAATAATTGTTCCTTACTTCTTTGGTAAAGTTTATTTTATTTTTGCATTTATATTTGAGTGCGTCATAATTCAGAATACATCTCATGCAACATGCAAGTTTCTAGTTTAGGTAATTGTATGATATGAATTTTGTAAAAAATATTTCAGGCAAAAAAAAAATTGAAAATTATTGGTGGGGTTCAGGCGGATCCATCACAATAGGATGAGGAATCAGAATCTTGGAAGATTCTAACACCTTTCTCTATCACCATTTGTCTCAAGCTAATCAAGAATGGCTTTGGCTAGTATTTTTTGTTGGTGCGTGAGATTTGTTATTGTTGTTCATTACTATTTCCAAGGTCTCATCAATCTACTCGTTAAATAATTATTGTTTTGTTTTCGTATGATATATTTAAATACTTAAATATAAATCTAAATATATATACAAAGAAGATAATTGATATTATTTATTACAATAAATTACTCGTCTTAATATCACAGTGAGAAACAATCCTTTGAAACAGTATTATTTTTATTATACTTGATTATATACCTTCAATTTTGTATTTTAAAATTTAAATATATCCTTCCTGCAGAGATCAAGTTACTTGGCTTTGACAATAAAAAAAACTATACATGAAGAGCAATAATTAATAAAGACAGGTATTTTACTTTTTAAAAAAACTACAGATACTCGTGTAATTTATAAGAAAAAGGTGACTGTTTTTATTATTAGTGAAAACATAACTGTAAATTTCTATATTTTTTAATGTTTTAAATTCCTGCACTTTTATTTTTTATTATTTTAAATTTTTTTAAAGTTTTTACACTTTATTTATGAAAGGACTTAAAATAATAAAAAATAAAAATCTAAAAATTTAAAATACAAAAAAAAATACAGGGACCAATAACAAAAAATGAACAGAGTGCAAAAACTTAAAGTTATATCTTCTTTCATTATTAACATTATTGTTTATTTTTCTCCAGGGAATTGATTAAAAAATTTGCATGCATTCGCGCCTCAAAACTGCAACTTCAAGTGAGGTTAGAGTGGTAAAAACACCACAATAAACGTTGTTTGTATACCACAATAAAAGTTGGTTGTATTTTATTTAATTAGTTAATTATTTGGGGCGAATAAAGTTGGTTGTATTTGGTAGTATACTAACAAGTACATAAAGTTCACAATGGAGAGTGATATGACTAAATATTTTCACTGTCCTTATCTTACAAAGGCAAACAGCTTTCAACAGAGACCAATGGCTGTGTCCAAAGACCCGTGACACTAAGCTATGTGCTATCAGGACACTGCAACATTTCAAGCAGGAAGCTTCAGCGTCTCATTGTTTTTCCAGCTGAATAAAAGCAACCCAATTGTCAGTGGAATAATCTCCAAATGCTTGTACGATGGATGAATATCTAAATTAAATTTAAAAAAAAAATTTCCCATTTCTTTTTTTAAAGTTTACATAGACCTCTCTTAAAAAACAAAATGTAAATTATTGGCATTTTTCAGTTTTGCTGAAATTATACATATGGCCTCTGAATTTTGTTCAAATTACCCAAAGCTCCCTTTTGTTTTCAGGCAAAATTGGTGTATATCTTTGAAAAGAGATTTATGTAATTTCAACAAAATCTGCAGTTTCCTATTTGTTTTGATCGTTTATATAGGTTTTGAAAATTATAAAAGTTTGCATTGATTCTACAAATAGAGATGATATCTATGTAATTTCACCAAAACTCAGTGTCGGTGCTTCATGCATCTTTTACTTTGTTGTTCAACATGAAGGTATAAAAATTGTCAGTTTAGTGGTTGCTATTCCGGCCATCAAATTTATGTTTTGGGAAACAACAGACAAGGGAGGCAAGCGATCTACCTCTTCATATAGTAGTAGAAAAAGTCTGCATAAAGAGCAGTCTGAACTAGGCCTGAGATCCAAGCTGCATTTGGCGTTCAAAAAACTTCATCAGTGAAGGCAAACAAAACATCTTCAAAACTAAACAGTAAAAATTTAATCATGCTTACGTATCCATCGGACTTTGTGAATCTCGGTGAAGTAGCGGTAAATCCAATTGAGGATGTATAGGGCCCGGTATGTGCTGCAAGAACATCAACCAGATAAAGCTATCACATTCAGTTATTTCAGAAAAAAGGAGATGAAGAAAGAAAAATAGGTCTTATTGTAAACATTGCATTTTAAGATTTTCATTCAAGTTAAGCCAAAAAATGTTCATGCTGTAAGAAGACAGATTTATGAATACAAAAAAATAAAAGTGGCTTTTTTGATGAAATAGCTCAATAGGCCAATAAAAACTCCAAAAATGCGTAATTGTAATAGGCTACTGGCAAAATTCTTGCACGGACAGTGAGAGAGAGAGATAGTTGCCCAGAAAAATTTCATTAGAATGATCAATCAAAGTAACATGACCGTATGGTGGCTGAGTTCTCCACAATTCACAGTCACACTATTATTATCTTCACAATGCTTACGCTCTTAATCAGCTCTTATATACGGTCAAGATGCCCAGGATAACAGATTAACAGTCACTAACAGCGCTTAACCATACTAGCTTCCTAACAACTACTAACAACCCAACTAATCCTTTCCTATTATCATATATATAAAAACGCATGGCATTTGAATAAATGTGCGTGAATTTACAGTTTCTTGGTATAGATCGACGGAATTATTTCAACAGTCTATCCACATAAGTTGTAGGGCTACCAGTTCAGGGAAAATATGCTAGGATACATGAATATGCTAATATATTAAACAATATGTATAGGGTATAGGCATAATGAGGATATTCCATGTTGTAAAGTACAAGACATCTGAATTAGGAAACCAAGCCAAAAACACCTTAATTGAAGCTATAGGATCAGTATTTCAAGATGTCAACGCCCTCTTGTATCTCAAACTCAAACAATACTCATGTACATCCTGTAACTCATCATTGTGATTAAATTCATTTCATTGAGAAGCATTCAAGTGCATTCAGTGCCTTTGTTTCACTCAATAACGTGATTTCATCCATGTGAAATTGAGAAAGTATTTTTTTACACTCAAAATTAAAGCATTAAAACAATGATATTTTATTAAAGGCATGCAGCATGAATGATCTAAACTATCATTTAAATTAGAACACTATAACCATCAGGAGCTCAACTTCATAACAGCATTAAAATCTGAACCCCTTGTACGTGGACTGTCACCAGAAAGGTATAGTTACTTTATTACCTAGGTTAGGTACTAAGATACGCAGCTTTGCTTACATATATAATGGAGATTCACCACTAAAAAGCTTTCATAATTATGCTATATCGTGTAGAATCTAGAATTTCAGCCAAGAGAACCCAAAAGAAGTAAGAAGGCAACACATACCCAAGAAGGAATACATATTTCCCAGTGAGATTGTCAATATTGCTTGACCTTTGCAGTAATCCTAATTGTGGAAGAATAGCCACTGCTTCAAGATATATAGAAAATGTCCACAACACCTACCCAAGGAAAAACCAGTTTCCATTGGAAATTAAACCGAAACAGAGAAAAATATACAAATACCCGGGGGGGGGAATCTCAGAGCAATTTGAAGAAAATAGATAGATAGGATATCTAGTGCCACATTTCAGCTTGTGAGAAATTAATAAAAGTTAAATCATATGTTTGTTGCCTCTGGCACAATATTTTGATTCTTTTAAAGAGGAACTTGAGGGGTTAGCTAGAAATGAGGTAGAAGATGGTTTAAGTTTTACTGGACATTATGATGGAATATACATATTAACCTTAGGTTTCATTGTCACATAAAGCCATAGAAAAGGTCATTTCAACCAAAAAAATTATATGGAAAAACAATGATAAAGAAACTAAAAGAACCTTTGAAAAAGTTGAGCCATAACTTTTAAACATGGTCATTAATAAGCACGGACACTATAATAAACATTGGCCCAACACCAAATAAAAACCTTTTTTTCAATGTATAGGACTTGTTAAAATTAGCTAATCTCGAGCATTGCAACCTCGGTCAATTTCATTTGGTTGCTTTATTATGACTTTGAAGCACCAGGTCATGGATAATTCATGATAAAACTTCAGGATCTACATATACTTCATTATAAATTCCTAGCTTGGTTTTGTGACATTAGTTTAATTTCATAACAGAAAAACAACAATGTAACAGAAACTTCTAACCTCCACTACAGTAAACTCGTGGGGGATCAAAATGGCCAGCAAGAAGCACACCAAAACAAGAATATAATGCCTGAAAGTATCTTGATCCTTGTTGTATGTCTGCTTCACAACTTTATGGTATCTCATGTACCAGACTATGCCAATCGAACTTCCAATGAAAACTAGCTTCATCACAATGTTGTAGAAGGAATAGAAATTTGTGAACAAGTCGAGATATCGAGTAATGAAAACAATAACATAGAGTTCCTGAGTCTTGAGTGAAATCCCTGGAAAAAGTAATTGCAATAGTAAAATTTAGGCAAGGAGTCATTACATTTGAAAAGAGCACAGACCATTCAAATGTTACTGTTGTAATATGGCTCACAATAAATTTAAACCTTAACTAAGAGAAAGACATCAAATGCATCAATCTAATTGATTTGAGTGAGCAAAGTCGTACTCACTTAATAATATGCTATGAAAATCAAACAGATACATAACTCTCATTTTTATTATATACTAGTTCAAAGGTACTTATCATCTAAAATAGGAGGAAAATATCATTTCAGGAGCACAAGCAAACAATTTTTCATAAATGCATGAGCAGAAAAGTCCACAAAGTTTATTTTAACAGTATCTGATAAGAATACCAAATTGTAATTTTCTGTTGCTTAACATCCTCAAAATTTACAGAGCAAATGTTTTACAGAACAATAGATAAAAAGAAAAACACAGGACACGAGAGAACTTGTATTATAGTTGTTTAAATAGAACATGGAGATTCCACTTTTGAGGGAAGAGAAGACAATTTAAAAAAAAAAACAAATTATAATTAGTTCCATAGTGTATACATCCAAATTTCAAAGCCTCGAAAATGTAATTTAAGGTATGCAGAACATTATAATCAAGAGGACTTTAACAGTACATAAGGCATGAGTTTCAAGGATGGATCTCTATCAACAAACTTTTGTAGATGTACTGCGCAATGACATTGAAACTAAACAATCAATCATAAGAACGAACTAATAGCAAAAGAAATAGCTGTCAGAGCTAGCCTGTCATACTTCAAAAAATTTAAATAATTACAGATACGAAGCGGCGTGTTCACCATTTTCTTCAATTACTGAAGATCAAAAGATCACTTAATTTTAGATTTATCAGTATCCACATAGCGAGCCATAAATTTATTACTCAATTTCAACCTAAAATCGAGAAAAAAAGTTTAATAATTGGACTCAGAATGTCTTAAAAAAGCGACAGCCTCCCATTGGAAAACGAGAAGGAACTAGCCATGCCAGCTTCTAAAACAGAACAAGTGACTCAACTGCATTTTATTTCTATTTGTGCAGTAACCCACGTAGAAGCAATAGAAGACGACGACTAATTATAAAGTTTAAAGATAAAAAGGGAAAACAAGAGTCTGAGTAGTTTAAAGGAGGAGAGAGACCTGCACAGGACTTAGTGGTTCGAATCTTGAGGAGAAGAACCACTATGCTAAGAAGGTGAGAGAAATCCCCAGCCAACCTGAACAAGTTCATCCTTGATTCACAAAAAAACTGCTCTAGTCCAGAAAAAACTGCTCGAGTCAAGGTCGCGACTTTATGTAATTATGTTAACTCAGATTACCGCCTAGCGTTCCCTCCCTCCCTCCCTCTCTCTCTCTCTCTCTCTCTCTCTCTCTGTGACTCTATTTTCGCGCCTTTGGGCCGTTCGCATTGACTTGACACAAGACTATGGGAAGCCAATTGCACGCTAAGAACAAATAACAGAACTAAACCAAAAATCCAACGCTTCAAGCCAATGGGTCACTATCAGGCAGCTCTCCAAGTATCTGCACATTGAAAGATCCATGGGCGACCTTGTACAGTGAGTTGCATAACCATGGTCCATGAGCGCGTTGTCTTTGTTAGAGAATATTGGGTGTTTATTGCTTAACTGTTAATGTTAATCTTCTTTTAATCCTAACCATTAATTAAATTAATTTTTAATTTTTAATTAATTTATATAAATCAAGAAGGTTAGTTAAAGTAAATTTATGTTTTTAAAATCAGACTACCTTTTCAAGTATATCTTTAATTAAGTGTAATAAATTCTAACCTATCCCAATCTTTCTAATCTCTAAATTCGCTTTGGATCATAATTACCTTATCCACAAGCACTATTTAAAACATACTGAAAAAAAACTCAAAAATCTGAAAGCAATCTTTCTTTTTGGGACAAAAAAATATGAAAGCAATTAAAATAACTGAGATAGAAATTGAGGAAAGATTAATTATTTATTTTTACACTTTTTTTCTTTTCATATAAAAGTTGTTGATTCAAAAATGTTAATTTTTATTTTTACAAAAACTATAACTATGATTAATATATTAATTTATTATCGAAACAAAAATATAAAAAAAATTACAAAAATTTTCAGATGACAACCAAAAAAAAGGTGGGGGGGGGGGGAGATAATAGGGCCAACATGTCAATAAAATTTTTTATTCCCAAAGCGTGCCAAGCGTTAACTCGTGTAACATTACCATTTAGATTGAGATATACTGAAATTGGAAAGCTAAAGTTACACTTTTACTATCATAATTTTCTATATTAAAAATACAATATAATTTTGATTTACAAATAAGTAATTTTTAGTTCAATTGTTTCTTTTTATATACATACAACAAAGGTAACAACTACATGAAAGATTTTAAAATATAAAGCACACACGTCTAATTCTCAAATGCCAAGAATTTAGATGTTAGATACAGTGAGTCCCAGATGCATGAGGCGACTTCACTAATAAACCTTTAAAGGAAACGATTATTCCTCCTAAAGTTGACCTTCCCTATATAACACACGGTTCAAACTTACAAAAACTTTTCACCACCAATCCATAACAGATTGATTTTCATTCAATACATTGATGACCTACATAGAATATCCGGATGTTTAGCCAATTGACTTCAGGCTTTAGAAGTTGAACCAGAAAAATTTGATGTAGGATACATGTTCCCAGGGGAAAAAATAGGAAAGGAAAGAAAAAACACTAATAACACAACCCATATATTAAATGCAGCAAGTGTACATCATTGCCCTAAAAATTGATCGTTCAAAAAGAAAAAGAAATACAAAAATATCAAAACACAAGGGTTTTCTGCACAAACCGCCAGAGGTTAGGAGGTCAGATCTAAGAGGAGAAATGAATAAGTAGGAATTGAGTCGTGCAATCAGTCCATTTTGTGAATTCTATTGGAAAGAAGCCTTTCACCAATTCCCTTACAGAGGACTCAATATTACCTTCCTAAATTAGCCACTAAAATAATCTACACTCGCCCAATAAACAAAGGCAGTATCGCCCGCCAACCAAACCTCTGCAATCAGCAACTTTTTTTGCCAAACCAAATCCCGAAGCGAAATATCATGGGAGGAAGGGTAAACCTAAACTTTGGGAGGAAAATGGTGCACTTCTGTTTCAAAGACTCTACAACTTCGATTGAGGCACCTGCGAGAACAAAGTCATGTCAATTCCATTGCTGTAACCTGATTTATGAGTCCACCATTTCATCTTGCAACTCGTTCGGGGCAATGAGTCCCGGAATAGACAGCATCCTTTGTCGGTCTCTTTCTCTCTGAGCCGCAGCCTCTTCTGCATAGAGATCCTTGTTATCCTGAATCAACCAAGTTTGTCGAGATCAGATATGACAAGATGTGCCATGGAGCCAAAAATATAATCATCATAATGTTGCGCTTCATTTTAGAGTGGCAATCATGTGCACACAAAAATAAGCACAAAAAAAAAAAACGAGAACATGCGTAATGTTCAGCAGTTATAAATGTCAAAACTCAGTGTTGCAATAAACATCAAACACGCACACACCATGATGACCACAAAACTGCCAGACATCCAGTTCCACAATAATTGAAGACTTTAACTAGCAAGATGCAATGTCAAAAATTCTAGATGCACACCACACATCCGAACTTAACTCATTCCTGGTCAAAGGAAAGCCTCAGTATAGCATAATACAATGAATTAAATATTACATGAAGAAAATCTCGTACAAGAAAATACTACCTGAGCTGAAAACTCTTTCGATTGTACAAGAAAATCTCGTATGTGATTTTTGAATGTAGAGAGATCATTGGTAGACTCAAAAAGTCCATTGACAAATTGTGTAACCTGAAAATTACTTAAATTGAATTCATCTGCTCTGACCAGCTAGAAATTAATAAGTATTTATTTTTCACTTTACCTCCGATGAAGTCATGTTGGGAAATGAAGTGCTCAGAAGTTTTATGGTGCACTCACGTACAAATGCTGCATTACTTGGATAAGGATATGGATTTGTAGCGACATCCCAGATTGGCTCAGTTAAGACACCACTTTCCAGCTGAAGAAATTCAAACTCTTCCATCAATATATTCCATGATTAAGTAAACAGGACAAGGATGAATCATAACTACGATACTATACCAGACAGAACAGATGCTGTAGAACTAAAACATGTAATTTGAACCCAGGCTTGTGGAATGTGTCTGTCAAAACAGCAAATATCTCTTGCTCAATTGTCAAAAAGTACGTCCTGTAAAACTGATTACAGAACTCAGATGCCTGTTTGATTCCCAAAAAAGAAAAGAAGGGGTAAGAGAGCTGGCAACACATGATATGAAATATTAAATAATATACACAAACCATACCTGAAACTTCTTCAGCATCTCCAACAACAAGTTAAGCCCAGTTTCAGCAATATTCCTTTCAGTATGCCGAAATGCCCATATAATTGAATCCATGATAAGTTTTAGTTGCTGCCAGTGATCACAAACAACATCAGTCACATACTACAGAGGCAGCAAATTTCAGTGTCCTAGTGTCATATTAAGTCTAACTAATTGACATGCCGTTTGTTTTGGGAAGGAAGAGAGGATACAAGAAACAACACCTGACTTGATAAACAGATCAATGCAGGAAAACAATAGGTAGCTATGGCACGGAGTAAAGAGAAGAACTTGAGCCTATGCTCCGGGTAATCTTCAAAATTTTTTGTAATCATCTGTAGGCGCACATCAAGAAGGCATGTAATACAGAATTAATAGATCAAAACAAATCAATCAATCTATTCTCGCATATATCACCATCTAATGCTAGTCTAGTTCTTGTACACCATAGCTAAATAGCCCACAGTTTTACCTCCAGTGTGCACTGGAAAACAGCTTCAAATATGCGAGGTATGTCTTCAACCATTGCAGCTTTATATCTGCAAGTACGAGAAAGACATGGGGGAAAATGTCAATCTATCCCTTTCCAATTTTGGGCTAGGCTAACATAAAAGCCCAAAAAGATGACACAACTATACATGAAAACTTGAAATGCCAAAGCACCATACTTCAATCATATAAAAGCATAGGAGGTACATAAAAAAAAACAGAATTATCAATAAAACAAAAGGAGAGAAGAATACTTGTTCACAATTGTAGCAAAAAGTGACAAAACTTCTGATTCCCTAGCATCTGGCACATTCCTAGAGTAATCTCCCAAAACAGGATCCAACATTGGGGGAACAAATTGTTTCCCAATTTGTGGTTGATCTTCAGCTTTGTCCAAGAATGTATCGATCAACTTAAGTGTCTCCCTCTTCACCGAACTGCACCAAATGCCATTATATGTAAAAATATTCCAAGTGTTACATGGTCTGAGCAAGATAAAAATATTCTCAATCAATCTCACCGTAAGAGTTTTACGTATGATGTTTTAGATGCAAAAGGGCCTCCTTCTGAAATGCTTGTTGATATAAGCTCACTGTACATTCTGCAGCAGAAATCAAATAACATTAGTAATTACCAGCAAAGAAGAAACAAGTCAAACAGATTATAAGGGCTTGTTTGGTATTGTTTTCATTTTTGTTTTTAAAAACTATTCTGTAAATCAATTTTTAAAAAACGGCCAATAATGGTTTACAATAGTCAATTGTAGTGTTTTAAAAATTAAAAAAGAAAACGAAAACAGCTCTAAGCTGTTTCCATTTTTTCAAAAAACAAAAAAACAAAAAAATGAGAACAATTTTGAAAGCGTCTAAATCCAAAACACATACCCAAACAAGATTTTTTTATTTTTAAAAACAGAAAACAAACATACATGTACGCATTGCTATGATAGATCATTTCAATATATCCATGTATTACATAAACATACCTGTACACATTCAGCATGTCCAAAAAGATCAACGTAATTTGGGGCAGAAAATATGTTCCTAAAGAAGATGCAACACTTGTGTTTGTCTGCAGAGTGATTCGAGTGACAATTTACTTATCCCAAGGTAATAATCAAGATGAAGACCTAAGAATATTATATATCACATTGCAAATCAACACATAGTGGAAACCAAAACATAAAAAGAGATTAATACTAGCAAAGGGGCTCAATAGATGACTCCAACTGTCAAACAGTGAGATGATGGGATGAACCTTCTGCTACTGTTGCTAGTCTTAACAGTTCCTTATCCATAAACTACCAATGAAATACCCGGTATTGACTAAAAAAAATAAAGTACATGGCATGACAAATTTGCTAGAGACAACAAAATAGTTTGATGCCCCAGGAGGCCAAAAAAACATATATAATTGCAACTACAATTGGAAATAAACCAATCAAAATTCAATAAAATTTTACTTCGTTTGGCGTAACTATACATGACCAATTTTAAGTATCCATACATTACCGAAGTTAGAAGTCAAGCAAGCCCACGTCTGTTTTATTTGGCTACTTGTCGTTAAATGAATAACATGCCAAGAAAAATTTCATTCCCAAGTCAAATAAAACTTGAGCTTCAGCAGAGTACAGATCAAACAACCAAATAATATAAAAGTTTGCAACTAGTACATACCATATAAAAAATGTGATCGTATAAATCCACAGATAAATTAGATCATGCAATGATTCTATATATCATTGATTGATTAGAAAGATGTACCTGTAATATATTAAGCACAGTCCGGATCACCTCCTGATCCTTCAGAAAATCAACATTTTGATGCGCCTGCCCAATTATTTCAAGCCATTTCTGCCAGAAACAGCATGATGAAAAAAACACTCATGCAATATAACACGAGCCCACAGATGCAGCAAGGGGAAAAGTGAGGACAGACAAGATTTTTCAAGCAAAAAAAGAACCTGATTTGGAAGTTCCATCAATCGTTGAAGATATTCATCTCTTTTCTGGGCATCAGATTCTGCTTGAATCATGTGGCCAACCTACAACAAGAAGCACCGTTAATAAATACAACAAGGACAATCTTAATGTATTCAAGATCTCACAAATCCAAAAGGCATACCGATTCATAAAATGTGTGAATCTGATGGGGTTCAAGATCCGCAATGGTTGTTGGAAGGCCTGAGAGAAGTTCAGATACAAATGGCTCAGATTCACCAACCTGAAAATACAATGATGGTGAATATTCTGGCATTATGCACAAGGAAACTTCACTTATGCTTTCCATTTTCTTAGGGAGAAGCTATCTAAAGCCCATATTACCTGGGTGATTACAAATTTACGTTTACACTTCTGAACAATTTTCAAAAAAGTGTCACACGCCATATCCTGAAAGAAATGAAGCATAGAGGTACTGTCAAAGTGAATCAAATTCAGCAGCATGTATACTTAAATGTCACTAGTAAGAAAATGAAACCATAAAAATGTATCACATCATATATAAAAGTTACTAGGTTAAACGGGCTGCTTCTTTACAGCATATTTTATAATATTTATAATTTACAATTCGTTACTCCCTCTGATCCTCAAGGTAGGAGCTAGATAACTAAATCACATTTATTAATGAAATTAGTTAAGTTAAAAAAAAAAAGTGTGTGCTGATTTCTGTAAAATATCCCTCCTTTTAATCATCTACATTAGAAACCACACTATTTATTGCACATACTAATGCATGCAATCAATCAGGGTAGTTTGGGAGAAAAAATAATAAATATAAGAGATAAAGGAGATTGAAGTCCTACGTTTAAGACCAAAGCAAAGTCCTAAATAAATTCCTGCATTTAGGATTGGAGGGAGTATTTTGTTTTACAAGACTACATTTATAAAACCATGTATATTTCCAATTATTGTCCATATAAAACATATAGAAGAGTGGCACTGTTACAAGCCACAGAACATAAACAAAAGATGGCGGCAGCCAAAATGTGAGAAAAAATTTATAGACCCCAGTAACTATTATTACTAGTACTAATATAATTAATCAAGTACATAACCATACTCTTTTTGCAGAAAAAAAGAAGGGAAAAAGGAAAAAGAAAGTAAAAGGGCAAAAAGGTGAAGAAAGTGAGCTTTTTTTCCATTGTCTCAATCCATTGACTAAATGGTTTCTAACTTCTATTAATTATACATTTAACTCCATATTCTTTCAACTAATTCCCAAAAAATAAGAAAAGAAATTATTGAAGACAAGCATAAACTTATTAAAACATACTCCCTCCATTAAAAAATTAATGCATTTTTTGAGGAGTTGAATGTTCAAAAATATAAAGCATTTTTAGTCTTTTGAGGTGTAATCATTATCTTATTCCTAAAAGTGCCCCTGCTGATGAATGACTTTATATTTATTGTAGGATGTTTAATAGGGATAAATATGAAAAAATAGAATTAATTTGAAAGTAAGTAACTACTTTATTGGGGGGTAAGAGTCGGTTAAAAATGCCTTACATTTTTTAATAGAGAGAGTACAATTTTTTGAAAATGTAAACTGCAGAACATAAATAAGAGATGGCATACATATTAAACTTATTAAAGACAGGCATAAGCTTTATTTTTACATGCATGTGTTCTCGTGGGGTTTCAGCATGAAAGAAATTAATCAAATTCATTGCTTCTATGAAAGCCATGAGGGTGAATAAATAACCTGAACTCCGGGATGTGTCTCATGCATAAACTCAAACAACTTATTAACAACAGTTTTTAGAAACTTCCAGTGGGCTCTTAAAAAGCGTGGATACTGCCCAACAACATACCTGCCAACAGAAGCAATTATAGAGAAATAGTGAAAATTGTAATATTCAATTTCAAGAAAATCAAAGCAAAATCCCAAAAATCAAAGGTCCGAATAAACAAGACTTACATGATATTACTAGCAATAACCGCTTTGTTATCTTTTCCCTTAGTAATCTCGCAAAGATTTAACAAATCCCGGATGACCATAACCAAAAATCTGTTTTCCTGCCAAAGATCCAAAAATACAGACCATAAGCAATAGACATAACACCAGTACAAAGAGAACGCTGTTAAAAAAATTACAAAATATATCTATGAAAACTTTAATCTTCTAGGTAATTGATTTTTCAGATGCATCAATTCTTTTCAATAAAAAAAAGAGTGCAATATAAATCATCACATAAATCATAAAAGTCAGAAAGTTAGCTGTTGGATGACTCAATCTACAAAAAAAAGTAAGAAAAAGTGAATCAACCATAAATGAAGTCAAGAAAAATAAGTGGAAGAAATAATAGGGACAGTATGAGTTAAGTCTGGAAGTTTGTAAAGCAAGAGATGAGGGATAAAGAATGGGACATCATGGAGGGAAAGGCCCGCATTGATATATGGCACTATTTTCACATGAAACGCTGGATGACATGTTGCCTGTGCCAGTATCTACCAACTACCATCAAACTTTTGGGATTTATGAGTTTATATAAGGAGGGTTATTTTGTAACAAGTCTATTGGGTTATCATGTAAATTTTAACCCTGAAACAAGAAGCAGTACCTGATCTTCCATCATAGAGCCAGATATGGACCCTATTGCCCAGCAGAGCGTGTTCAAATTATTCCATGTCCAATCCTCACCACTTAACTGTTTACTTAATTTCTTCAGCATCTGCATATTACCCAACAAAGAAGGACAATCTCACATCAAGATTCCATGCAGGCTAAGGAGTGCAGCAATTTCATTAAGCATTAAACTATTTGATACACTTATTTTAACATTTAAGAAGCTAACATAGGTACAAAAAAGCATATTCTGATGTTACCATTAAATAAAATGTCAAACAATTTGAAAATTGAAAATAGAAAACAATAGTAAAGTGTTTCTATCATAACTCTATCAAAAACTACAAGGAACAAACTACAAAATTTTATGCATTCCTAACTGCTGAGCCTGTTCAATTTTAGAATCACATACCTGCTTTTCAGTGTCCTCATGATCAAGATGTGACAAGTAGATAAGAGTCTCTCTCATGCTCTGTTTGATCAAATTATGATTAATAACCAGGAAAAAAATGGAAGTTTTTCAAAATTTAATATCATCTTGTGTATCTAAAAGATGTAAACTTCGAAAATCTAAGTTTTATCTTTTTGTGCGTGTTTCTGTCTCAATACGTATATATACCTACATACTAATGTATACATATAATATATACACATAGCAGCAATTCTAGCAGAACAAAGTGTCATTAGATACCTTATATTGAACAAGAACATCATTGTCCTTCATTGTTTCACGAACAATATTTCCATTTTCATCTTCAACTATAAGAACCTCTTCAGGCTTAGCCATACGACAGATCATAAGCATTCTCAACTTTGACATTGGGCCAGCATAAAGCTGCCTGCGCTGAAGAACTTGTGAACCATGACCATCAACCATACCAGGTAGCATCATTGGAACCTGCTAGATCCATTGAAATTCATCAATAAGCACCACTTCCATGTAAAGTGGGCAGGATGAAATTGAATATACCGATCACACGAGATTATTTTGATTTACTACAAAAAATGACAGTAAACCAAACAATTGAGATTGGAATAATACTAAATGTTCTTAACTTTGGAGTATAACTAATTTTCAATATATAGTTCAGTGTTAAGACAGAACAATATAATCAAACACTGACTTGGACTGGGCCTAGGCCATTAGTTCTGACACTTATTATACACTAACAGACAATATAGTAATGAGGACAAGGACAAGAGAAAACTAGTTGCAAGAGATTTGCAATAAGTTTCAGGAATCAATTGAGGTTATCAACAAGAGAGAGACACCTGAAGACCCATTAAGTTTGCAGCAGCCACAGCAGGATTTTCCAAATTGCGGTGTGCCTCAAACAGCTCCAATACCAAAATGTTCCAATAGTCCAGACAAACCTGTTATTTTAGCAAAACAAAGACAGGACAAGTAATCCACACAAATAAGGCAAATGATAGAGATTAGAGGGAGGGAGGGAGGTGTGCACGCAAATAAGTGAATATTCGAAACAGAAGTGTAAACAAATTTAAGGCAAATGTAAACCTGAAAATACCTTAAAAACCTCTGTGTCATCCACATATGAAATGTTGATAAGATATTCAAGACCCAATAGCAAAGAAGATACATTCTCTTGTGAAGTTTCCAGAATTCTAATGTGAGACTGCATATAGAAAGGGCACCAGAACTAACATCAATAGAGAACTGAATCCCCGATAAGCAAACCAAAAATAAAAAAAAAACGATAAGACCAGTGAAAACAAGATGGAACAGTCACTGGGGAACAGAGGCTGTTTTAGAAACTGGTATGCAAGAAAAATTAGGTCAATTCTTAAATATGTCCCATGCATGACGTGGATGATATAATTTATTATAGTGTTTCATTCCTGAAGTGATACATACCACTGTCATGAAAAAAATAGTAGTGTCCAGAAAAATAAACAAGAAATGCATCCTCATCAAATCACGAAAACCAAGAAAAATAAAACCCTTGCCTTGTAAAAAGAAGTGAAGAACAGCGCCAGGTTCTGTATAAATGCCTAAAATTGAAATAAATAAGCCAAGGTCTCAGGCAGATAATACACGAGATATCAAGCAAATCACAAATTTCCCCCCTCAGCCAATTACAGACACTCACTTGTTCCTCACTGGAACCATGTGCATAAGCCTCGGGTATATTTGTAGTAGGAGGGAGTATGCTCTGCTTTAAAAAAAATAGAAGAGTCATCTTATAATCAGCCACAAAATTGTGCATAAAGCCGAACAAATAGGGCAAAACAAAAGAAGATAAACTGAAGCAGAGACATGAGATAAAGTTAAAACATAGCACATGACATGGTAATGAAACCCATCCAACAAACCTGCAATTGAGCCATGAATATATTATACATCTTAACATACTGCGCATCATAATAGTTCCCAAATTGAAGGGCTGCCACCTGTAACTAAAGAAAAAAGTGAGTGACGTTTTTTAAAAATTGGGAGAAAACAAAAGTACTCAGATGATACAACATATACCTCTGTTAGGCATTGCAATGTCAGGTTCCGATATGCTGGAATTGGAAAAAACTTGAGGAGTGTCTCAAGCTGTAAAGTAGACAAATACCAATAAGATTACAAATTTCATTCCTTCAAAGGTTTTTGATTAAGGAGAAGACTGCACCAACCAGGGGTGATTCAAATATGTATCCCAAGGGAATCCAAGATAGGAAGGCATGTAATGTAGATAGTGTTGCGCGAATGAGTTCAGTCCGCTGGGATGCAGATAAGACATACAAGCATAACTCGTGGATGAGATGAAAATCACTGTAAACAGCCAAGTAAATTTCTCAGTCAATGCAAATCCACTGATTGAATAGATAACCTAGAAAGTATGACCAGTTTTGTTCAGGAATACAAAGCTGTCAACAGTTACCTATTCAATGATTGTTTAAGCTCTTTTATCTTCTGCTGAGTCATCTCTCCTCTTGAAAAATCGAAAACCTCCTCACTCAGAAGCTGACAGAACATGCTATGTCATGTATTGATTTAAGGAATCAAATTTGAGGTATAAAAGTACAACAGACTCACTTTCAATATCGCCATACAATTCTCACAAATTGTTTCACTAGTTTTAGCTGCTAAAACAAGGTCAGGAATAAAGTTTTGCCATCTTGCTGGCCACTCATGCTTCAATATCTGCATAAGATACACCAACCATTATGTACAGCACATAATCATCAATAGATACAATATATGCCACCAGGAGCACAACTGAGAGTTCCATTAAAAAAAAGTTTGTCAACCCATACTAATAAGAATGGGCAAACCAACAACCTACCTAACAAGTTAAAAGGTAGATTGAAAAAAAATCTATTTTTAAACATGACAAATTAGCATAGTAAACATAAGGCATCACAAGAAAAGTAAAGAAGACGAAGAAGGTTAGAGACTCAGAGCATCTAAAATTTATGAAGGTGAGGAAAGCATACAATATACTCATTGAATGACCAATAAAAAAGAAAACCGCAGAAGTAATGAACATCAAAGTAATATTATGGAGCTGCAGTATTTTACCTGAACTAATATAATGTTAAGCTTGTTGACATACAACCTTTCCACTCGAAACGAAGCCTCATCACTGGAAAGCTACATGAACAAATATATATACATACATCAATACTGTGAGCAGGCACCAAGAAAACTATTGTTGAGAAAAGATTGACTTTCTATAAGTATGGCTGATACCTTTACAATAACATCAGAAATAAAATTCTTCATTCCATCTCGCTGCTCAACAGGTAAAGCATTCCATCTGTATTTAATCACACCTTCTAGAACCTGTAAGCAGGACAACAGAGAAATGACACATCATTTTTTTTGAAAACACAGGGGGGAAAAAAAGTTATAGGTAAGATTCTCAAACAAACCATAATTTAACAGCTAACAATTCATGCTTTTAAAGACACTGCAACAACAGCCAAATGGGCTCAATCATTTAAAGGTCCACCATCATAGTTAAAGGCTCATGGCCCTATCTCAAGGTAAATTTGATCCAGGAACAGGAAGGTTCAACCCATGGCATGCTTGACCAGCTCTGTTGACCAAGGCATAACTTTTGGGGGTCAATGGACTAAAGTCCAGATAATACTGACACACAAAATTTTTGGGCCAAACCTGAGCCAAGTTAGGCAGAATCGCGCAATCCATTTACCTATCCACTCTTTAACCTCTACATTTAGCATTTTGTCCACCCTATTCATTTATCGACCCCAGATTTCCAGTAAAATTAAAAATATATGTTAAAATTGGACTCCTAAGAGCAAAAAACCTCATTTCTAAAAGTGCACTCAATTTAATGTAAACTCCACTTTTTGGCCATTTTTTGATTGAAATTCTCTTTATTTATCTGTATTGGCAAATCCATTATTTCCTTGAATAACCGCAAAAATGTCTCCACACAACACCAGACATGAACTTGATTGGACCGAACCCATGCATTTGGGCAATCGCCATCCCATAACAAAAGGCAGCAGCTACATCAGAATTGGCATTAGGCTCATTCTGAACACCAAAATCAGCCTGGCTCATAGACAAAGATAAATTACTAGACCATTGATGCCATAAGCTTCCTTAAAATTAAAGATGCATGTTAAGAGACTAGAAAAAATATGGATTATACACAAGCATTTTGTGCAAGTCTTCAAATAATTCCACTCAAACTGCTTGTACTTCAGTCAAATCTCAAATTACAACTGCTATACCTAATCAAAAGCCCACTAGAATAAGACTTCTCAAGCATATGACGCATTACTGATATGATCAACCTATCACACATATCCTCATCTTGATCCAAACTACAAGCCAAACAAAGCAGGGCACGTTGCTTTTTTTAATCAAATCAGGGTAAGTCGCAACAACTAAAAATTCCATAGTGCCACATATCATGCGTCTATCATGATCAATAAAACACAAACACTTGAAAAATAAAAAAGGGAGATGTGTGTTTAGATTTTTTGTCTTGTGCCCACATCAAAATCAATGCTTCCTAGAGCATTTTGCATTGGCTAATGTTTGTAATTTGCATATTTGGGCAATGACCCTACCAAAAACAATAGGCATTGGTTACATGAAGATGGGCCATGGGATCATGGCGAATACCTATACTACTTTTCTCTTGGTAGTGGACTCTGCCTTTATGTGCCAGACATACAAAAGAAATTGGCATAAGAATTCGTCCCACATAGCATAAAAATTTGTACAGATCAAACCTGAAAAAACACTGACCTGCAAGGCAAAGAACTTGGTATTCAGATTTTGAGTGTTTTGTAAAATATGCATGACTTGCAGCCAAGTGTCCGGATTATTTTGCAGGTCACGCAAAATCTGGTCGGCAGCATTTCTCTGCAATGAAGACAAAGAATTGCTATAAATTGCAAGGTTGAACATTAAGGGGGGAACTCGCTTACTAGCTGGAAATAGAATTAGAAACAGCCTCTGAAATATCCACTGGCTATTTTGCCATGCACCCATATTGATGATAACGATACAAGCAAATAAATAAATAAATAGACCGATAAAAATAAACATTCATTTTAACGAGGTTGAGTAAAGCATGTCACATTGACAAGACAGAACACGAAATTTGATATTTGAAATTGCTCAAAGCTCGTATCGAATTGATTTTGTTCATTCAAGCACTTCAACATATATCAAAGCAGTTGTAGAAGGCCAGGCACACTACATATCAGTTAAATATGCTAAAATAACAGTATGTTCGACCATTCATTTGATCTTTCGATTCAATCGTGTAAAAAGGGGGGAAAGAAAGTTTACGAGGATTCTGCTGATGACCAGCTTACAAAGAATTAAATGATAATGGCAAGCCAAAACTCCATTTTACAGATTTTTTTCACTAAACAAATAAAAGAGCCTCACACTAAATCTAAAAAGGGACGCTATCTCCTCGAAGACATAAACACAAAAGCGAAACCTTACGAGAATTAAACCCTAAAACCGTAAGTCTCGCGTCATTCCACCGCCCCACACATTCTCGAGTACCAAAACAGTAATGAGCGACTAGAACCCTCTAGACCAAAACCTAAAGTTCCAGTAAACACTCAGTGACACTAGAGACATTCAACCAGCACCCAATTGGCCCCCCAACCCCCACCATTTTCCCGCGCTCCCCGAAAAACCAATACGAATGATGTTGAAGTACAGGAGGGACCATGCCCTGACCTCTTCCTTAGATCCGGTGCCATAGAAGGCGGCGACAGTGGCGTCAAGCAAAGCCACATCAATCGGCTGGCTCAAATCTCTGAGCCTCTCGGCAGCCATAGTGAAGAATTAACACGGTGGGCTGTGATAAACCCTAGAAGGTGTACGGCCACCACCAACAACACCACCAAGCAACAAGCCAAAACCCTAGAAGGAGCGTAAGGTTATAGAGAAAGAAGGAGGTGGAAGAGAGAGAGCGAGAGAAATTCCGGAGAGATTTCGGATGAGGGAGAAAAGGGAGGGAGGGAGGGTTTAGACTTTATATAGTGAGAGAAAAAAGACAGCTTGAATTTGAAGCAGAGTTGGGGAAGAGAGAGAGTGTGCGTGGGTGGGGGTACGTATGACTTTGGGGATTTGTTTGCCGTCTTCACAGCTCATTTGGCACCCGCAAGCACAACAGAACAGAAGCATGGCCTCGCTACATGTAATGCTATTGTTCTGGTAAAAATCTTGGTGATGAGAATGAGTACACAAACTTTAGTGTTTAATCAATGATTATTGGGTAAGATGAAATGCAATTGACATTTTTCATGCAAATAGAAAATATATTAAGAGAATTTTATCATTTATTTAAATACTATCTGACTAAATTTGAATCGATATTAAATTTATAAATGAAAATTGATGACAATAATATTTATAAAGATATAAATAATGTGACTTCTAATTACAAATTTCATGCTATATGTTTGAAATTTAGTTAACCGGTAATGGTAACCATCAAATAACACCAAAAAAAGTAAATGATTTGAAGAATTGTGTTAATATTAAGATAAATGTACAAATTTAGTCAGAAATTATTTTTGAAAGTCACTGTGCATCCCATATTATGAGGCTATGCCAAAAATCATCATGATGAGTATAATAAAAAATCTTATGCTAGTTTTTACCGAAAAAACAAAAAATCATAATGCTAATAGGAGAGTAGGATTCAATTGTTTTTCCTTGGCAAAATTGTTATTGGATTATATTATATATTATTATATTCTTCTTTGATTAGAATAATAAGCTTGAGAATTTTATGTACATGAGTTAAATATATTTTGGAACCCTAGGTTGTAAATTTGGGGAATGAAAAGGATCCTTGGTGGTCAAATTACTGAAATTAGTTAGTTCCATGTTTTGTTCTCTTTCTTAACAATGACAATATTCTTAATAAGGACAACTATCTTCTAGAAAAATCGCTTTGCAAGCAATGCGAATGATTATGGGTAAAAGTATAGTCTAATTCATAGCAAATTAAGGTTTTGGTTATTAATATATTCAAAATTGAGGTGTTTACTAGTTATAGCTCTTTCAAACAAATGAAAACACACACAATATTTTTTAAATAAAAATTTAAATTCAAATAGTGCAAATCAAAATAATTATATTAGAAGAATTTTCCCTTATTTAAAAGTTGGCTGACTCAAATTAAGAATTTCTTTTATATGAAGACCAAGTTCATTAAAAATAAAATAATTATACAAAAAGCACAAAATGACTACATATCAAAAACAATTTTGAGTTAGAGGAAACACACAAACCACACAGCGAAAAACAAAAATAAAAACAAACTTAACAAATCTAAGTTTGAGTTTATACTAGAGCCAACTCAAGCCTTACCCTACATGATGAGGATGCTTGAAAGGAAACAACATAAAAAGAATTGAAAAGAGGCATCAACGTTTTTTTTAATATAAGCCCACAATAAAGATTGTGCAAGAAGTCTAAAATAAATTCATGTTTGAAGCCATAAGGCTTCTACAATCCATGGGCGAGCTATCAAATATGGTAATATCAAAATTTTTGCTCAAAGCTTTGTAGGCTAGAAGATTGGCTCGTCTATTAGCTTTTATGTAAAAGTTATCAAAGGTAATCTCCCAGTCTTTCATAATAAGATTTTTGATATTCCTGATAATTGTTGAGAGAGGGTGGCATCTCCATAGAATCTGAGCAAACATTAACTCTTAGAATATCAGCATTCTAGCAAGGTTTAGTCATTCTAATATCCCTGTGAATTTAGTTGCTGTGTTGGGTTGATAACTAAAATTTTTGAAAAAGCCCTTAATCTAGTTATCCTTATCATTTCTGATAAAGCTTCCACAACTAGCTACACCATTAAAGTTGACCAGACCATCAACATTAAGTCTAACCCTCCCAAGATTTGGTAGATTCCATCTAACTTCATGTCTGGTGTCGATTTTATTCGAAATTTCAAGTTTGGATTGAAACTTTAGGTTGTTGATAATTTGTTTAGAGCAAAAGAAGGCAATGTTGTTATCCAAGATAATATCTTCATAATAGACTTTCTTGCATTTAGTTTTCCATATGTTTTAGTAGGTATGGACAAAAAGTTTCTGTTAAGGCAATTTTCTTGTAAATAGGCTTTCTACTTCATTTTTAGTATTTCAAATTATCCAATCCACAAAAGAGGCATCAACGTTGAACTCAACCTTCTTAAACTATGTGTCTTTGAGAACATGTAATTTCTTGTGGGGCTTTTGAGAGTGTTGTCCAACTTTAAATGATAAAATAGCTACTTAAATTGAGATTAATTAGTAATGCCTAATTCTAGATCATCTAATAAAATAATTCATTGTGTCTTGAATCTTTATTCTTATTTAAAAACTAACAAAAGTACTATTTACATCTTTTTTTAGTTGAATTATTATTTTGGATTATTTAGTCCATATTAGAAGTAGAATTATCAATATCAAACATATATATATATATATATATATATTCTATAATTTTATGAGATGAAATTACCGCTAAATTTTCATATTTTGAGCAATGCATAGCTTCAATATTGTTAAAGTGGCCATTCAACTTGTCCAATCATCTTGTAATTAAATCACATGTAAAAATTTATATTGAACTCTACTTGAGTAGTAACTTATATGTGAAGTCACAAGTTTCCTAACAAATTGGCGGGATTAATATGCTGCTAAATAATGGCTACCATTAAAAGCTTTTATACTCTCCAAGTATCCTTTTTATAATTATTTTCTTATTTCAAGTGTTACCAACTATCATGTCAATAACATTTACAAATGATGGGAATGACACTAAAATTATGGTAAAATTCTTGTTTAGCTAATAAATATAGTTGTTAATAAATAAAAGGGGAATAGCATTTAAGGATAAAAAATTGAAGGGTAAATGAGCATAAATTGATCCTCAAACTAGATGTCCAAAACCATCTATATAATAACACCATTATTGCCCCGATTACATAACTAAAAATTCACCTTAATAAAAATAAGTATTATCCAAATAATAAACAAGTATTATCTAAATAATAAACATGGGATCTCAAGTTTTGAAAATTAAACATTTAAAGCAATAATAGTTTAAACCAGAGAATAACTATTGCAAAAGCATAAAATGCAATATTATATTAAGACATTTAAAAATAATTTGAAAACACCAAAAACCTAAAGATTGAGTCATCTGCCACAACAAACTTCTCACTACATCATGCACCCTGACACAAGTGCCATGTGACTCAACACATTGCAAAGAATCAGATAGCATAATACTGACAATTAACAAATTCAGGGGTCAATTTCTAGCATATCTCAAATCTCCATTTGATGTCCAATTAAGACAATCTAAGTGTTCACAAAAAGCTTTTTTTTATAAGTTAACTATTATCACTAGTTCTACACTAGTTCAAATTAGAACCCCAAATACATTAAATTACATTTTCACACTTATCAATCAGAAGGTGTCCCAAACCCGACCAATCTGCCAAAAGCTTAACCCGATACTTAGATCATATTTAATGGACTCGAGACAACTACAATGCACCACAACAATCATATTACACATATAACTCAAATTCAACCCTCAACTCCTTAATTACAAAAAGGCAGAGGGAGATTCTCAACATTGCAAATATCAAAATAACCATTCACTTGCATCAATACAATCAAAACTATACTTGCATTGGTATTTTAGCTATGATGAAATCACTCAATCAAACAACAATGACTATAAGGCTTAAAATACAACCAACCTAATAATGCATGCTAATGGTGCATGTACAACCAAAACAAATTTCTAGTTGGCAATATCATTAAAAATTACACAAATATAAAAGCAAATAAAAGAGGCATACAAAAAGAAAAAAAGTCCTTATGCCTCAAGCGCTTTCCCTCTATTTTGCCCCAAGATAATGCTTAAAAAATATTAAGAAAAGAGGTGAATATAGTCACTCAGTAACTAAGATACATTTAATCTATATAATTGTAGCTCAATTAATTATAACATGCAAGTGTGCAAACAACATGTAATCATGTCATAATCACATATACTCATATCTCAATTTATCACAAACTATCATTGTCACAACTTAACAACCGTGTGACAAATAATAATGATATACATTATCAACACCTCCCTTGTAACCTCTCGATACCTCCAATTGAAACCATGAGTTATTAAATCAAATAAGGCTCTGTCCATATGAATGGACTATCTAGGCTCACTAATAGTGAGGAGCAACCCAACCAAAGGTCACTACACTCATTTTCAGACCACAGTTTTCCCTATTCTCGAATTCTTAAGGTATCATTATTCCTAAGTGAGACTCCTCGTAGAACAAATAAAGACAATCTAAGTCTAAGCCCCCAAACAAACAGTGGGAGTAACTCTCAACAAATCATGAGACAAGGATAAGCCTTCAATTATCAAAATGTGGCTATACCACATAGGCTTACGCTACTTTCCTTATAGCAAACTATTACTAACCATGATCATGCAACAACATGCTTACTCACACAACAAGCATGCTAACTCTTATTTACTCAACCCAAAGCATGATATCATTTTCCTTAACCCGACTGTCTATACCATAAATATGCCAAATCATCATAATCATTTCATATTATCGTGCTTTCTACATAATCACATTTGCACATCGCAAAAATCAACAATGATTATTCTCTTCCATATGAATTTCCATAAGACCGTATAATACTCAAGATTCACATATTTATTTGCATACAATTCATTTGATTACATTACAAAATTCAACTTCAAGTCATACTTGCATTCAAGATATCATATTCAAATTATGAAAACTCTTATAATCAATTAAACAAACAAATGTATCAATTAAATTTTCTTTAGTTACCTCAAATTTTTCTTTAGTTACCTCAAATTTTTAAGAGAGATCAAAGGTTTACCCCTCAAAAAATTCACCTTCAAGGCCAATCTCAAGCCAAAATGATACACAAGATGATTAGTCTACAATGAATTATGCCAATCACTATTAATATCATCGTA